ACCTCACGTTAATACTTAATTACTGTGAGAATACTACTCTATATTGCACAGAGATTTCAGAAAATATGGGTGGTTTAATAGTGTGTTATGGACTTATCCTGCCGTTATTCAGCCAAGCATAATTCTGACTATGATTGGCTGCCTGAAGGCAGACTGCTTCATTTTACCCGCATTTTGTGTCGCCCATCTTCTCTGCATTTACAAATTGGCTGACTTCGGCCTGATACTTGGTCGTCAGTTGGTGACCTTTGCCATTCATACAGAAATTGTTTGCTTCGGGGACCAATACGTCGGTTAGCACCTATTCCTATTTGGCTACTGTAAATGTTTAAGTAACGTTTGTGTATGTAATTTCCTAAACTCTGTGCACATATCTACTGATATTAACCATTGAGCAAACAGAACATTGAGATCGTAGCTTACGTTTACTTCAAATAACTACGGTACCACGCAGTTGCATACGTGTATATGATTGTCGATGCTAGTAATGCTTGAAATAGTTTGTCTATCTGCGCAGTTTTTTTCTATTGCCTTTTTACTCCTACGATGATCCTTTGCCGAATTTTTTATGCACGTCCCCTGCGTTTAAAAATACGAAGTCCAAATTACGCATCTAATTTCCCTCCAATAGACTGAACTACCCTGAATTATATACCTCCTCTCCCGAAACGCCAAACTCAGATTATCTGATTTTGAGGATCAGTCGTTCAGACTGATCAGCCAGCACCACCGACTGGCCAATGCGTATGTCATGCATTAAAGTCAATAAACCTCAACTTGTAAGGGTAGAACAATTCACCTAACCCGACCGTGCAGTTGCACGAAATTTCGGGATTGATAACGAAGTCGCTCAGGGGATTACCAAAACCAGGCGGGGCTTTGGCCATCCACAACCCTTCGTATGAAATCACTACTGAATACAGTTCAAGATATGAAGGGCGGTAATTTTGAGGAGCGTGCAATACATGGTGCTAAAATAGACAGTCCGTAACAAATAAGCTAGTCAAGTCAACAAATTTCACTTTATCTGCCTTCGGAGAACGGTTAGGCCTGCCAAAGTCCCCGACACGGATTAGAGTACTATTGACTAAGATGGCTAATAACACAGAGATTGCTGATCTAATATCGTGTTTTTACAACAAAAAACTCACCCTAAGCGAGAATTCCATGACGCTCACAGTAGGAATGAGACCTTGTAGTTTCGTTCTTGTGATGTATTACCTATCAGGATATCAGAGTAAAGTGAAGGGGCGTACA